GGAGAGTTAGTAGAATTCCATTTACTGTAATTGAATACAATATTACTTTTCATTGTATTTTTGTGTAAATGATGGGTGAGAAAATATTTTCAGAGTTGAGTTTCATATTTCTCAAATCATTTCAATAGTTTTCTGTTATTCATTTTATCACGTTTCTTTTGATTTCTTGTTCAATATTCATTTTTCAACAACGATTTATATAGCTTGATACCTTAAAAAACATGAGTTAAAGGTATATTAATTACATTTTTTCATTAATTTATATAAATGAATATAAGAACTAATTTTATTTTCAACACTAATAATACATAAATGACTTTAATTAAGTAATTAATAAAATTAAAATCATTTTTTATATTTTTCATAACAATTAATAATAAATATAAAGTTAACGTATTCTTAACATCTACCTTCAGATAGAAATTAAAAAAACACTTCAACAAATGCTACTGGGTCAGAAAAAAATTGGGGACGTGAAAGATAAATTGGACAAGGGAGGGAAGAAGACACCATTCCACTACTGAAATTTTAATTACAAGTGAAAATTAGTACCTCGAAACTAGACTCATGGAGCAAAGATGTGATATCATTTGTAGAAACTAAAACAACTGATTACATAAGTCCATCATCAGCAACAAGTAGCTAGTTATACAAAGAAAGATAAAACTACCCCTGGAAGCAGTTTTCATCAAATTCACCATGTAGCATCAGTATTGGCTTGAAAAGTGAGTCCCAAGTCCCAGATGATTCATGAGCAACCAAACGAATGTGAGAAGTTCACCGCCCTTAGTAGGTTGCTGTGCATGGACGTGTGGCCTGCAGTTCATAGCAGCAAAACACATTAAATGTACCCAAACTTTGCTCATTTGCTCCCAAGGAGTACTGTTAGACTTCAGTTGTTTGGCAAGCTCAGATGCAGCAAATAACACCGATCTACTTATATCCCTTTCTGGATTTCTGAAATTTGGGATCAGTTGACGGATTTTTTCGCGAGCATCCTCATCATTTGAGATTGAACTCCTTCTTACATATAACGCGGTCTCTGCCAATGTTTCTTCGAACACCTTTTTCCAACTCACAGAAACAGCTGCCATAATAGCTGGCTGCATTACTAGTAGG